TCTTGCAACAGCGGATTTTCTTCTAGTCTATCCTTAGGAAAAACTTCCTGAAAAAGAAAAATAATTTCTCAGAAATTAGTAAAATCAAATTTACTCTCTTCTTTCCTTGTTTTTTTATATTCTAGTTTCCTTTCTATTTCTTTATCATATCTTTCTTTAACAGAGGATCAATTATGATTTTGAGCCACAAAAATTCTTCTGGCTTTTGTTCTTTCGGGAAGTAGATGAGGGAGGTACACCCTTTTTATTTTGCCTAACTTATAGTCAATAAAAGCTCCTCAACTATCTTGCTGAATTTTCCTATAAATACGTATAACTTCCACTAACTTAGTGCGATCCTTAGGTAAATTTCTTTTTCCCGTAACTTTATCTGGTCGCAAATAACAAAAATGTTCATTGTCTAGTTCCTCCATCAAGTTTTCAAAAAATTTTCCTTTTCCGGTATTTTCCCGGAGGGCTTGCTCAAATTTTTCTGGGTCAGTGTCTCACAAGAACTCGGCAAGTTGAAAAGCAAAAAAAGTTAATTCGGATAATTTAACTGTCGTGTGCTCGGCTCCTGGGATGTTGACAGTCTCAGCAACTATAGGAATTTTCTTTTTGTTTTCTTCACTAGGATTTTCTTGGTATTGAGGAATTATTTCTTCCGCAATTTTTTTTTCATTCAAAAAAGCTGCTTTTTTTTTTTTCACATTAGCGATGATTTTTTCCTCCTGATAACGTAACTTTGCGTTAGAATTAATAGCTAGAATATAATTATTAATTCTTTCTAATTCACTGATCTTTTCTCTTTTGCTTTCTTCACCTTTTTTACTTAAATTTTTATCTTCTCTTTCCAAATTCATCAAATACCTCCTCTCATTAAACAATTCTCAACCTTCTTGAAAGTAATTTTTTCCGGGAGCGGTTGCTAAATCAAACATTTTATGAATAACTTTTCCGGCTTCGCTTCGGTATCAAGTATCAGCAAAAATTACTAACTCGTTTAGGGCATCTCTTCACGGCTGGTTTTTGTCTCCGGGCGTTAGATATTTCTCAACGCTTTCCGGATGATTTGCGGTCAAAATTCCGGCATAAACTCGTTTGGCTCGTTCAAACTCTGCTTCTGGGAAGTTAGGTGGCAAATGAGCGAAAAATCTCTTTTCGTCTGCTTTCAATTTGTAATGCTTAATTCACGGAAGGGAAATTATGATTTCTGAGGGCATGATTGTTTGGGAGGAATTTGGATTTGGGTGTGGAGG